CATGTGCACTGATAGCTGCCAGGTGCATTGGCGCATAATCCGCCATTTTTACAAGGATTAGCCAGGCATTCATCCACATCTGTCAAAAACAGAAGATTAGAGTTTATCAGGAAGGCGATTCTATGAAGTTTTTGCAGCAATCAATACCTAGATCACATAGATGATCCTTCCAGCCTGGARCACAAGCACATACGAAACTRCCGGGGGTGTTAGCGCACGTTCCTCCGTTCTTGCACGGRCTGGTTAAACATTCATCGACATCTAAAATCGATTACAAACTGTTAATGATGATAGTAACGATAAGAAGTCAAAGAAGATGGTAATGACTTTTGTACCTATGGAGTATATGCACGATACCGTGACTGTAATATGATGTTATACATACCGACTTCACAATGTTTCCCATGCCAGCCAGTCGCACATTTACACGTGTAGCTTCCAACATTATTGATGCATTCTCCATTATTCCTGCATGAATTACTGATAGAACACTCGTCAACATCTGTCAGAAAAAAACAAGACATATTTATAGGTATTATTGCACATTAAATGGCTTAATCCATCATTAAACCAACAACAGTTCCATGCTAATGTTAATCTCAAATTGCAACCTTATTGTTTAAATATACTCTTTGTATTTATGCTAATTCTTATATATATACACATTATACAGTGCCATTAAAGTATCTGAGGAAGGCGATTGATCGCCGAAACATGTCAGAATTGAAGGCTGTTGTTTTGTTCTTAAAATATTTATAGGTACATGTAGCTTTTTAGAGCATAGTATCTCATCTTGAAGCAAATTGAGACCTTTTCACATAACTGATATATCGGATTATAAAGGTTACTTCATAGAAGCTATGCACGGCGGGAAATGGGGAATATTCATCATATTTTCAGAAGTCAAGTCGCCTATTCTTAAGAGTTCAGTTCAATGTTCGTGAGATGATAACAAGCAGAAACAAAAGATTCGAGTTATTTGCAGTTAGTTATGGAGTATAAAATCTTGTCTAGAGAAACCATAWACATAGTTCTACCTGAAACACACAGTTTCCCTTGCCATCCYGCAGCACARTTACATAAGTAACTTCCAACAGTATTCTTGCATTCGCCTTGATTCTTGCATGGCTTTTTTGTACACTCATCGACATCTGGAATTATTGTCACAATTACCATYCATGTTTTTTTKWKAWARARARARAARARRWGKRGWKT